GCCAGGCGGAAGTAACCACTAAACGACAAAAGTATTCGTTAAAACAACAACCAATAGGAATAATGGACCACTCCGTGGCAGCAGAGGTGTCCGCAGTAGAAGACTCTTTGGTCTCCTGATCAGTCGCCGTGCGCCGTGCGGGTTCGAATCCCGTCCCAAGAGAAAATTTTCTCTTGGCTATGGATGCCGTTATTGTCTGTAGGTGGTAGATGGTCTCTGACTGTCGTACGCAGAGGTACCACCCGGCGGATCTCGTAGACGGGGCCAGAATGTGTGCAAATTACATGCACACGTGTTGCCTCGCCAGACCCCCCCTTTCCCCTGTATCCCCCTATATCCCCATGGTACCCCATGGGTGGTTAGGCCTTAGGCCTTCGTGGTGACTGGAGTATAAAAAAAACGAGCTAACCAACTGACCCACGGCGCAAGCTACCAACCAACTTTCTACGGCGGTTTGTGGGATCTTCCCTCTTGAGTCGTTCGGTTTGTATAAACTGAATTACCCAAGAAGCAGGTAGGTGTTGCCAATTCAAGGAAAGGAAAAATGGAAGCTGAGTAATAAGATGGACACAAATATGCTTACTTACTCACAAGGCTCAGCAATACCTTAGGCGAAATAGGACAGCTCAAAGTGCCGCCTATGACCAGAACCGACCACTACGAAAGCGAAAACAGCAAGCTGTTTGTTGGAACTGAATACCAGTTTATATTGCCAGCCAGGTCACTATTGTTTCCGCTAGATGCCGCTCATTGTGGTACTATAGTAGGTACGGTCTACTCGCCATTGAACAAGCTAATATGTATAGCTTTTGTTCGTCCGACCACAGACTGGCAACTATTGCCAGCCGTTAGATGACACGTTGTGCTGTCTTATTTCCATAGACCTTATACTCTAAATACAGTAGAGTAGCTTAGCTTTCGTTTGTTGTCCACCAAGACCCAGCCTATTACATGCTGGGGAGTTGTTCAATAGCACGAAACAGCTGTCTGGTTTTCTGTATGTGGAACGAGATCTATATTACTAACACCTTAACCGTTCTGGTCTCCTAAACGACGTAGCTCCATATCATACAATCGCCTGCCACAAGCTCCTAACATTGTCTTTCCACCTACATCTTAGATGACCTGGTAGTCTTCTATGGATTGTATAATTTTATTATCAGACATGCATAGCCTAGTGAGGTCTTCTCGTCCTATGTTTGTTATGTAAGGTAATAGTTTTCCATTTCCGCCACGCTGGGGTTGTTGCGTCCCAAATTGTTCCACAAACTCGCTTTAAAATCTTGTTTTAGCCGCTTCTGGTCTTTAGATACCAATGTCCCAGCCTCACATCCATATAACATTACTGGTCGTATAACGGTATTTTAGATTTTTAGCTTTGTACTATGGCAGAGAAAATCAGCAGGATCTACATCATTGTTGATCCTTTGGGCTTGAAGTGGCTATAACCGGTCGCGTGGTTGTGATTAGATGTCGCCATGAAAATCTTCTAGCCATTTTATACCACAATGTGTACGTTGGCTCTTGTTTGTGACATCGTGTGTCATTTTCTTTCCCCCTCCATCTTGATTTCCTCAGGTTACACCCGTATCAGGATGTATGGGCATGTATATCTACTTTTGTAGTTGCATATGTGCACTCATTTTGGGTCTGATGTAGCCAACAAGCAGAAATACGTATCGGTCGGGTTACCTATTCTATTTTCTGCTCGAATTCACTTTCCTGCCTTTTGCGAAATTTTCCCATTATTTTTATACTTGATAAATAAAAACTGAATAAAATTTCAACTCTAAATTCCGAAAACAGCTGAGATATCCCACCTTAATGTTAATAATGTGTTCGCTACACATTCGTCGAGGCATTGATTTGATTCAGTGATTACTGAAGCAAATCTACTCCTGGTGCTCCTGAAAAGTCTAACCTAACACATTTTTTTCTTTTTATACTCCAACTACCACGAAGGCCTAACGCCTAAACACCCATTGGGTACCGTGGGGCTATAGGGGGATTCAGGGGAAAGGGGGAACGCCACACGGACTCTGGCGAGGGAACACGTGTGCATGCAACATGCTCCGCCTACGAGATCTGCCGGGTGGTACCTCCGCGTTCGAGAATCAGAGACCGTCTACTACCTACGGACAATCACAACATCCATAGCCAAGGAAAAAATATCTCCTGGGACGGGATTCGAACCCGCACAGCGCACGGCGACTGATCAGGAGACTGAAGAGTCTACTACTGTGGCCACCGCTGCTGCGACATGAGTTCGTGCATTGTCCTGCTGAAAAAGTTGATCTTGCAATGTTGAAAAAAAGGGAAACAGATGTGGTTGTAAAACTTTGTAGATCTAGCGCTGGGCAGTCATGCTACCTCGAGTGAAGACTAATTGTGACCAGCTGCCGTAAGCAATGGCACCCCATACCATAACACCTACAGTGCCATGAATAATAAATATGCCGTTCGATGGTGGGTTCCGTCTTAGTCTTGCCTTCACAGTGACACAGGAGATGCACTGGGGTTTCCTCATGCTCTCTGCAGAAACGGCCCTTTCTGCCAGACCGAACAATCTCATATGTCGATTTAGGCGATAGTGTCCTCTCAGGAGACCCAGTATGGTCCTTACTACCTATCATTGAATCAATTTTTTATGAACTATTTGGAGCGTGTTCTCGTTATGCCATAGAAAGGCTCTGGACCTAGAAGACGACTGATCGCACCTTGTCGTAGTAGCTCATCCGCATTTTCATTTGTCTTGTGCGCTTCATGTACGGGTACCCAGAGTAATGTTACCTTGTTTTGGTTTCCCAGCTCTTTGAGAGCGTTCACGCAATAACATACTAGTTTCGACGATATTTGCGATGACCTTAATGCCTTTATGGCTGTCTGAGCACATGGCAATCGACTGATTTGCAGTCTCATTCCTTATTAGCTCTTTTATGCAGACTTGTATGGCCGTTAATTCAGCCTGAAATGTTGTTGCAATTATTTTCTAGACTTATAGAGATCTCAGCTTTTTGCCTTACCCCATAAATCCCAGCTCCAGCTCCGTCTTCAATTTTCGAGTGGTCTGTGTGGCATCTAGGTCCTTGCTCCCACGCCTTCCTTTCTGGTACTATTGCTTGATAGTTTTTATCGAAATTTTACACTGTAACAGCTGTGTCCGTGGGCATTAACAGTATAGGATCTGCCTTCAACTCTGTGTCCAGTTTTGATGTTCTTTTTCGTGCTGCCTCTGTCCGGTGATTGGCGTTGAGTTAGTCTGTAAACCACGGAAAGAGCATTACTCTGAAGAAATATGTGTAATGGTAAGTAGGTCAAGAAGGACCTCCAACGCTGTAGTGGGAGCAGCCTCATCGCTCTCGACTGTGTAGTCTTTGCCCACCATGTCACTGACCCATAAGTTATCATGACTGTCACCACCCTCGTGTATAACCACATGGCGGCAGCTCTTTGAAGAAGTGTATCTACAGGGACCGTCCATAGAAGGGGCGGTAGCACTCCTCCCTGAGGACATCACAGCTCCAACTTCGCTTCGATGGTGGTATCTTCTGCTATAGTCCTACTTTTCAGATTGGCCTCTGTCCATTGAGATAGCGTGGCTGGAACCCCTTGTGGTGTAACGCATTCATCAACGATTGCGTTTTTGCGTTGTTGTCGCACCTTCTATATCTAGAAAGGTTGCTACTGCTATCTCGTTGTTATGCCTTAGGTAGTATCCTGCATAAGTTACTCAAAGCGAAATCGGTCTTCCCTGGTTGATGTGCACATTGACGGCAACTGAGCGGGTCCGCCTCCAGTGCTTCAGGAGAAATGATGTGAGGCGTATTGACCTACATATGTTAATTTGGCCGTTAAGTCGGATACCCTGCGTATTTTCGGCAGGTAGATGACCTTTGCCTTTTCTTCCTCATATACTGAACATATTTCCAGGCCAAGCAATCCTTGAAGACTTTAACTAGATAGAACAGGGTATATTCTATCTACTCCTGGGGATTTAAGTGGCTGAATTTTATTTATGGGCTATCTGAGTTTGTATGTCCTTGCTTTTTATTACGTGGATGGATCGCGTGTTGGCTTGACCGATTCCATCTCCATGACTTCAGTCTGCCCCTCCGGTGATGGCCTTTTAAGCAGACTGACACCTTTTTGGCTTTGTCGGTCAGTGCTTGGGCAATTTTGAGCACCCACGATAACTGGCTCTAGGCTAGCCCTCCGCCTTTTTATCTTTGGGTGGTTGTCCCTGCTCCTTCAGCTGGAATTTCACTCTGCGGGTGGTAGGAACGTCCAGCTTGCGAATCTCTTCGGCGGACTTGTCCTTGGAGAAAGCCCACAGCTGGCCCTTCTTAGACGGCAGCTTGTCGAACACCGTCCAAAGGCTTTTGTGGAGCCTCTTGTTCCGCACCGTCAGTAGGGTGAGAATGCTGCTCGCGTCTGGTCTTTTGCCTTTTTCATCTGGTACGTAGACAGAGCCAACGCAGAGATGTGGGAGGTTATCCCTCTGCAACACTCTCAGGCTTTGGCCTTCGAAGCCTGGAGCTGATGTATTACCTCCCGCAGCGCATCTGCACGGACGTTATCCACGCAGGGTATGACGACGCGGCCTGGCATATGCGTGCCTTTTTGGAAGCGTACTTGGGGTCCACCTTCAGTGATTTTCTGGTAAGCCTCCGTTGTATGGCCTTCAAGGGCCTCGCGTTGAGTTGGGCCCATTATCTTGGCTGGGAAGCCATCCAGAGCGATTGCGATTCACTATTCACCACCTTAATGGCAGACCCTTTAAAGGAAGATTTCCTCTGGCCCTGGCCCTTTTGCTTCCGTGCCTTACGCTAGGTGGTGTTTCGCCATCCTGTCTTGACTTTTTTTGGGCGTTCTGTGCTTTGGTCAAGGGCTCCCAGGCTTTCTGGCCTTCCGGATCCATATTCTTTGGTTGGGATCTGGTGAAGTTGTCCCTGATTACGGCTCGTTTGGCCTTTATGTATTCCAAGCCTTTCTCCAACATTTCATTGATTAGAGAATCCTGACTCTCCCATGAAACGACTTTCGTCGTTGGTCATCAGCTGGACCTCCCCCAGCAATTTGGCTTTGAAGGAGCCCTTTGGCTTCTCTGGCTTTTCAGCCTTAGCCTTTGACGCAAAAATGGCCCTGCGCCCTGCTGCTCATGCTGGAGTTGTTGTCTTGGCCTTACGGCCTTGGATTTTATTTTTTAATTCTCTTTCCCATGCTTGTTCACGCGACTATTGAGGAAAGGCATGAGAGGGGTGCTGCCTGGTGCCCCCAGGAGCTTTCGTAGGAATTAAAAATCAGAGATCATTTTGGCTAGTATGGGCTGCATGCCCTCTGATTTGCTTTAAACTCGTTAGCCGCCTTGGAATGGCTACCAAGCTACGTAGAGGTGAGAGTAGCGTTCAGAGCTAGCCACCTACCACTATGGATATGCCCAAACTATCTATGTACTAATTGTGAAGGCCTGTTTGACTGACCTGATCCGTGTAATTTCTCTGTTACACATGTCCGTAACAGACTTCTTTCTCAGAGGGTCTGACTTGTGCTGAACATAATCCTTTATTATGGGAAGTGCAAGTCAAACTACCGCAATTTTTTTTATAAGGAAAAGTGGATAAAGTAACAATTTGTTTACCATTCTATTGATGTTGGAATGTTCAAAATTAATTTGGTTTCAAGTTTAGTGACAATCTAATTTTGAGTGTGACCCGGTATACAGCTTGAGGCCTTTCAGACTCTAATTTCACCGTCGAATGATACTCCCACTTCAAAGTTGTAATAAATTTAGGTAAACATCGAATTGAATATATATTCTAATCAAGCCTGTCGTCGGCAAACTCACTTTCCCTCTCAAAATTAACATCGAATGTAAACCACATTTGGGATTTCTACATGCGTGCTCATTTTGATTGCTTTAATGAACTAGCACGCTCTGTTCCTTCTCTCACGTGTACATAGGACTGCTTTTATAATGTTATTTGTGCCCCAATTCTCGTATATTGGAATGAATTAATTGTTTATAGCGTTCGGTCGGGAAAATGGGCAATTAGCGAGCTCCTGCTGTTAGGTCTACACAGATGACAATATAAAAAGGCAAATGAAGTTTCAAAAGAGTGTCGAAAAATCCATACTACGTATTACAGATGAGAAAGTTTGTTACTCAATCATTCCAAAATGGCTAAACCGATCTAGGTGAAATTTTATATATATATAATAATAATAATCCGGCTTTATTTATACAAAGTATAAAAAGGCGAAGTGTCGCTAAAAAGCGTTTTTCAACTTAACCCATGATTTTAACTTTTTAACTTTGAAATGTCTATTACATGGGCTACAGCCCAAACGGCTTAATGGAACTTGACATAAGGTGTCGGGGAATGAAATTAATAAGGGTATATGAATAGCATTTGCAGCATGCATTTACTAGTGATGTGCTTTATAATTTATTTCAGTGAACAGTGTACAGTGAACTCGGAATACCTCGTACTGTTAATTTTATTCGCTTTTTTGTTTTGTTAAGATGAATGTTTCAAGTTTAAATAATCCACGTAAACTGTTGCTCACATAGTAAATATAGCTGTGAGATATACGCGTTTTCTAACAAGCTCAAATAACGTGGGATACATCGTTTGTATTATTGTTTTTACCAGTTCAGACGATTTTCGTTGAATAATGCATACATTTGATTAGGAGTTCGGGAGAACGGTACTCCTTTTGACTGCAGTCCGGACGAAAAACTAGAAACCGGTTGAGTTTAAGAAATGTGACTAAATGGAAATTGCAGTCAACTAATATTTTCATTTTTGATGTTTTAATTCCTTTATTAGCCTCAAAGGGTGATATGTTGTATGAACATTTTTATTTCTTTCAGCCTTGGTGACTAACAGCATTGTTATACTATTCGATATTTTTGAACTAAGCCATGATCGTATCCAGGCAACCAGTTAAATAATCTTCTGCTTACTTTGTTAACTGCGGTGGTATCCTGTCTGCTCTTTCGTTCTCTTTCGTTCACTCAAAAGTACTTTGCCTGGGTCATCGGGATCCTGTAACACCAGTTGTTCGTGGTAAACGAGTTTTTCGATTAAGCGCGAGCTAGTTCATATAGTTCAGCCATGATAACCTTTGTTGAACTAGTTCGTTCACTAGCATTTACTTCTTCTCTATACAGGGTGTTTCACAACTTATAAGGACAAATTCTAACCACATATACTAAGTGACATATAAATCCGAACACCCAGTTTAAATGGTTTTATTTTAATAAAATTTTGTATAAGTACTTATGAAGCATAATAAGTAAATGATAAAAATTTCAAAATGATTGCACTGCTTTAAAGCCCTTTGACCTTTAATAATGTGTGGATGCACCCTGATGTGCTACGCATTCTCCAACGCGCCTAGGCATGCTTCTGATCAGGTGGTCAATGTCGTCTTGTGGTATCTCATTCCAGGCAACCACCAACTCCTCTCGAAGTGCTTCTAGAGTCTGAGGAGGACGTTACAAATTGAGCAATCTCCTACCCATCACACGTGCTCAATTGTGGATAAGTCGGGAGATCTTGGTGGCCATGGTAACAATGTGACATCATTATGTTGAAAGAAGTCTATTGTGACTTTTGCAACATGTGGTCGGGCATTATCTTGTTGGAAAGTTGGATCTGCCAGGGTGTCAAGATAGGGTAAAAGATGGGGTTCTAGAACTTCGTGGATATAACGCTGCGCGTTCATGCTACATCTGATGAAGATTGAAGGTGACCTGGAACCATAAGCTATAGCACCCCAAACCATAACTCCAACAGTGTGATGAACATGTCTTTCAACAAAAAACTGTGGATTCCTCCTTTCACCACGTCACCTTCTAACCCTGGCACGACCATCGTGCATGCCTAAACAAAATCAAGACTCGTCACTAAAGACAATACTGTTCCATTCCTGATCCCAAAATGACCGTTGTCTGCACCACTCAAGGCGATTACGTCGGTGTTCTCGAGTTAAAGGGAGGACCCAGTGTGGCCGGTATGAAAACAAGCCAGAACTTCTCATTCGTCGGTAAACACTTCGCATGCCAATTGGTCTTCCGTGTTCTGCAAACCATTCATTTGCAAGGGACCTGGTAGTGGAGAAACGGTCCCTTAAGGCCAATAATCTTAGGCGGCGATCTTCACGGTCTGTTGTTCTACGGCGGCGTCCAGTGCCCCTTGCTCTTTGCGTACGGCCTTCTCGAAGCCATGCATGACAACACCTAACCACAGTGTCAACACTTCTTTGCACTCTAGCTGCAATTGCCCGAAAATAAAGTCCAGCTTCCCGAAGTCCCACTATACGGCCCCTATCAAACTCACTAAGTTGACGAAATCGTACAGGTCTCCGTACTCTAGGCATCGCAACCGATAGTAAAGGATGTCAAGAACCAAAATCCGCTAACGTTGATTCTTTACTGCGGCTGAAATATTTATTTTTAGAGCGTTAGTGAATTAAAAGAAAGCAGTATAAAAACCGGAATGTCCAACTGATAAGGCTGAAAATTTTTTCACTTGTTATTTACAGTAAGATAAATACATTTACCAACTTTTATTAAAATAAAACCAGTTAAACTGGATGTTCGGATTTATATGTCACTTAGTATATGTACTTTAACGAAAGAAGCTGATTTCTCAAAAAAATGTATTGAAGGTCCTACAGAAATTGAGTTATAAACCCGAGTATCAATAATAGATTGAAAAATAAATATCTGTATTTTGCGTTAATCGTCGTGATATTAGAACACGCATTAATAATTTATTGTAGCAAATGCTCCAAACAAATGACGAAAACAAATTACCAGAAGTTTTTTGTTTTATCATACTGGTAAGAACGTGTAAATTAGGTATAATCTGTATCGTGGGTGATCTGAAAGAAGAACGGTCGATTTTTGTGAAGTTAAATAAGAAAGTATTTTGGGAGTTTATGCTTTTAGTTATTTATTAATAAAAATGTCACATATGTATACTAATGAGGAGTTAGTGGACATTGCTTTAGCGAACCGTGAAGCAGGGCAAAATTCGCGAGCGGCTTCTCGTTTGTATGCACACCGATTTCCGGATAGGCACATACCAAATCATGAAACATTTAGTTCAATTATTTTTTTACGTGCACGTGCTATTGGAGATTTGCGGTGGAGGGGGGTCGGGTTCGCCCACAACTCGTTATTTTTTATATCGAAGCAGTCGGACTTCGCGGCTGCTACGATGATGCCAAAGAAATTTTGTTAATACGATTTTTGAACTGCCTAAGGTTAGTAGAAGTGGGAAAAGCTTCCTCTTGTAGATTGTTCAACAATCTCGACACCCTCGGAACAAAGGAGCGAAATTTTGGAGATTGTGGAAGAATATCCGAGAATAATCACAAGGCAGTTAACCCAACAGGTCCCAGTAGTGTCACAAGTAACAGCGTGGCGCATTCTACATGAAGCCCAACTGTACCCCTATCACGTCCAGAGAGTCCAGGCATTGCTACCTACAGACTACTCCCTAAGAGTAAGATTTTGTGAGTTGTTGTCACAAGAAAATGTTCGAAATGCCCGTTTTACAGCTGATATTTTGGCCACCGGTGATTTTTACTCGTAATGGGCTAACCAATCATCATAATACACACGATTTGGTCCCTTGAGAATCCTGACGCAGTGGTCCATACACACTTCCAACATCGTTTTTCTTTAAACGTGTGGACAGGTATTTTCGATCAACGTCTAATTGGACCGTTCATACTGTTAGATCGGATGGATGGTCAGTATTTGAAATTTCTTCGAAATGATTTGCCGGTCCTTCTTGAAGATGTGCCATTGCCGGTCCGAGCACGGATGTGGTTTCGGCACGATGGGACACCTCCGCATTTTCGTTTAGGAGTTCGTGATTTTTTGAATCAGGCATACTAGGTACGCTGGATCGGAAGGGGTGGACCAATTGCATGGCCTCCACGGTCTCCCGATATAAATCCTCTGGACCTCTTTTTATGGGGCAACTTGAAAAACGAGGTATACCGTACTCCAGTTCAGAATATTGAAGAATTGCCTAACAGTGGCTGCCGATAATTTGAGCCTTCAGGCACAGCTGGAAGGAGATGTATTTGAATTAGTGTGTCGAAATTGGACTAGTTGCGTCCAAGCTTGCACTGCAGTCAATGGAAACAATTTTGAACAGCTTTTATAAATAAGTGAACTGTTAGGCTATATTATTTTATTATCTAGATTTCTGTAGGACTTTTATTACATTTTTTTTGAGAAATCAACTTCTTTCGTAACAGTGCACTTGAGGTTAAAATTTGTCGGATGAGTTATGAAACAACCTGTATACAAATGTGATTGTGTGAAGAGATGTAAAACATTGTACAGTTGCTAACTGATATCAGAAAAAGGTTACATGCACAGTCTTATCTGCGAATACGTCATCTGTAGAGCCAAGTCGCGCCACTCAACCTGTGACCGTCAAGCGATACAGACGTTTTATTTCACACCAGCTGTTACCCGCCTCTTCGTAGGCTTCAAACTGTTACTAACGCAAAACATTGTTTTTAAGTAATGCTATGAACTTCCGATCACGTTGTTTTTCTTAGTTGGCATTAGTAAACTGACAGCCAACTTGCGTGCTTGGGAAATTTGGTTACTTCATTAGTGGAGCCACCTACACGTTCCGCGGATAAAGCCGCCGTGCAGAAAGCTAGTAACTAATATGGAAAGCAGTGTTTAGAGTTCGTTCTTTCTCGTTTTGGTATGTCAGATGTTTTTCAACTTTCCATTAACCTTTGCACTAATGAAAATCTAAAAGAGGTCTTCAAAAAGCGTTGGACTATTGCAGGTTGTCGGCCGTAGAAAAGGCGTAGTCTTTTTGTGGCGTGATAGGGGACATACAATGCACAAAAATTATCCCTACGTTTTCTGATTGATAACTAGCTACAAAAATTGCTAATACATTGGGCCTACAACTTGCTACATAAACTTGTTTGTACAGCTGGCTTTCCAGAATGTATTAAACGTCGCTGTGAAGGTGTTTCATTCGCATAAGTAGTTAACCTAACCGATTTAGGTTATTTGATAGTCCATACGAACATTATCGGGTGATGCTTCAAAACGAATTTGGACCAAGTTTTGTCGAGCAAAGTAAATGAACATGTATATTCAATTCCTCTTACTGTAACTATAGATATTCTGAAAAAAAATAGTTTTTCTATTTTCTCATCTAAAAATCTCCAGAAGTATCAAAGTCCAATTGACCATTTATTCAATCGCGTGAAAACAACCGCGTCGCACTGCAAAACATCATTTTTTAACACATACCTAAGTTAAAGGGATTGGTATAACACGCAAAACATGGATTAAGCACATATGTATATTCGGGCAGCAGCTAATCTAAAAGTGAAAGGTATGCGCATGTATGGAGAAGGAAACCGAGAATAGCTCACCTCATTTCTTTAATAACCTCATGTACATAATGCGAGGCGATATGTTCTGCAGGCGTCATGTGTCACGTTAATCTGTTATACCAGTTCGTTGAGGAAATTGAGAAAATAGCTGCCAATGCTATTATTCATCTATATATAGAAAATTTATCGACTATGCCTGCCAAATTAGAACTGCTATCTCGAATAATGTCATAGCTTGTACCCCACCTCCCCCTTAAAGAAATCTTTCTATTTCTGCTCCTTTTCTTGTATTGAGGATATGCCCACGATTGTCCTAAGTCTTTCTGCTAGATTACTTGTGCTTATTTGTGATATTAGAATTACCAGTATTGCATTTTGAAGATTAGATGGCAGAAAAAGGGCTCATATGCTTTTAGTGGCGGGGTTGACAAAAATAGTTACATAGTAATAATCGAGCGCGTCAGGTGCTTGTAGTGTATGTGCTCCACGTGTCTTTGATATTCGAGGTACGACGATATTTTACCGATTTGTGCCACTGATAGAGGAAGTCGTCTGTTTCTCGGCAACCTAGAGCCATCGGTTAAAATTTTGTTTAACGAAAATGTCTAAGAAAAATATAACTAACATATATTTAAAGCAGCTTCAATTCATAGTATTTATTGCAACCTTCTTTGCACACATCATCTTTTTGTAAGTCGCTTGGTTTAAGGAGGAGGAAGAGTTTAATTCAGAAAAATTTTACTTCTAATTGGCATTATCGATTTTCATGGATTTTTCTATACATTTAAAGGCTTCTACGAGATCTTGCAATGGTTATTTTCAAATTAGAGTCACGCCTCCTAGCGGCCACTTCAAGAAGTTGAAATTCCTTTCCATCAATTTGTCTTGGCCACTCTTGTTACATATTTTTTTCAACCGACATCTTTGGTTTGAGTGGTTGTCGAGTTACAGCCAGCGTCCTTTAATAATGGCCAACCCGGTAGAAACTGATAGATTATCATACCTTGAATATCAGAGACAAAAATCGTATTAACAAAGTTTCTTTTGAATCCTCATTGCAGTTGCAGTGCTTCTGCCTCGATGTAAAAAAAGACAGCTAGTGCAAGAATTAGTGTCACAAAGATCGCAATCTGCAATAATGATAATCTGATATTAAGAACTGTAATCCCAGAGAGTTGTAATCACATATGACGGCTTGGAATACTTGTCACATACTTGTAGAGATATTGTCTTGGATAAATTAACTATTCTCAATGTAATTCTTAACAGAGACCGATTCGGTGTAGTTACAGGCTTTCTAACAGGACGCAGCGGCATGAAAGAGCAGCTACATAAAATAAGTCTACTTCATGGACCTAGACAACAAATGTAATGCGGCAGAGGAACAGTATCAGCCTTTCAAGTTCTCCATAAGTGGGGAAAGCCTAGAGCAAAGAAGGCTTTAGCTCCTTGGAGAACCAAAATTAGAACCGATGTGCGTTTCCAAACACATAATTTCAATCAATTAATTTTGTAGTGTAAAGCCGTAGCTATACTCGTGAAAATTCTACAAACCACAAAGCGCAAAACCCAGATAGTCGCACCACACCAATATTACGAAATATATAATCGCCTCATGTATTAAAGCTATCGTTACATCGTGTATATGAAAAATATAGTTCCATAAATCGTTTTAAATTTCATTTGCAGCCCTGGCTTTATCAACATTAGCGGCCGTGATAACTTCCGCTTACAGAATAGAACGTAAATCCTGATAAAATCGAACTTATGCGCTTACTTTGCGGAATTATACTGCATGATTTATTATCTTGAGCCAGCCTCAAGTGCGTTGGGTCAAATTAGGTGAGAAAGTTTTGAAACGGAGATTGACAAGCAAGTAGAACTTGCGTCTCTTAAAAACATCCGACTAGTAAGTTACAAGCACAAAGGAGTGAAAACAAAAAGCATGGTTGTTGTTGGATTCAGTGGACGTTATGTCACTGGTACGTTGAACTTCTTCGAGGCTGGGTATTAATTCACCTACCTGGTCTTTATCATCTGACATGTTGGCAGCTGCAAATGAGACATTGAGCTCAGAATAAACTGGTAAAAGTACAATAGGAAAATTTGATCAAAACAAACCAAGGTGTCTGTACCTATATTTCTTTTAGGTCCTGAAACCTGGATACTCATAAGAACAAGATAGATATCCGTCAAAAAGCACGCCTTGCAAGATCCTACAGTCCGAGTAGAAGATTATTGGCAGTGACTCGTCGCTGCTACCTACGGCAGTCGCGGTGGGTGGAGCGGTGGAGGGGGATTGCTCTATGTACGTGCGAACTAATTTTCATAAAAGGTGTGAATATGTGATAGCAAAGTATTTCATTTATATTCATTTATTTAACCAGACATTTTAAATATAGGAGTATATAACAATGTAACTATGAAGATAGTAGGATAAGTTTGGGTAACTTGTACCATTTTTCTTATTTGATTGGATGATGATATGAAGAAACATTATTTGACATCCTATCAAAATGCACAGCAAAAAACTGTATGTAAACTCTGAACGTTTACAAAAAGCATCAGATTTTCATTACTAATTAAACGATTTGTTTAGTCAACTTAGACACAGAGACCATTATGTAAGACAACACGTGAACATCACAAATTAACTTAGGGTATCAGGATAAATGAAAAACGTTCAGTTATAAAACTTGAACATGAGAATCATCGATATTGATCACATTGATGAATCAGAAAAATTATCATAACAAATAACTAACAATATTTGGTTAATCTAAGCACAAAAATCACAAACATATCACATGACCATATCCCTTGCAAGATATGCAGGTACAATTTAATAAACCAAATGGCGGTACAAGTTGCCGAACCAGTTTGATTGACACAAATTATTTATTTTTAAGGGGTTAAATATGAAAGTATGGAATAGACGATCTTAGCATTATTCCAATAAAAACATCCGTTGTGATACATACTGTTATTCCCATATCATTATCAAACAGAATTCTTATGCATTACAGTTCCATTGTACTGTCACCAAACCAAATATGAAGATGGTCAAAATGAATAATGCTGAATTATAATAAAAAACACTGTTGTATAGTTATGTCGTAGAAAAGGTCCAGACTGACCTGTAGGTGTTTTCAGCCCTGAAGACAATCCATCCTCGAAGTCCTGTCCACGACTGGTAATATTCAAATCTTGCCATACCTTTGGCATAGTGTATCTTTGATTCACCCACGTTTCGTCAAGATAATACACATATTTTTCTATTTTCGCCTATGTACTTCCACATTTCCGCTAAGTACTTACGTCGCCACATCACAATTTCTTCGTTTCCAAACAATCTTGACTTCCTCCTCCGCTTTAAATACCTAAAGTTCAACTTTCTTTTCAAAACCCTCATGGAATTTTTTGGGAGACTGTCGTCGTTTTCAATTTAAGCTGCAATTTTTTGTAAGATAGGCATCTAAAAAAAACCTGGTCATAGTTTCTGAGACCACAAATGAATCTTATGCAGTTGTCCCAAACTCAAAAGATGGTCCAAACATGGCTGTTAACGAATGCTATAATAATTGAGGATTGATAGAATAACAGCTTTATGTAACTGTTTATTAGCGTACACAACGTGCAGTTTCAGATAATATTTTTGTAGCAGCTACTGTCATGACTCTTGATTCTTAAATTACTATCCCGACTGTCGCCGAGAATCCAAGAGTCATTACTGGATTCTAAGCGCTCTGAACCAATTTTGACATGAAGCGCTTAAACGATTCGATCAGATTTAGAACCGAATAAAATACAATAATTTTGGATTTTGGGTAAATTGATCATTTGACTTTGTTTTAAAGAAAAATTTTGAATTGCATCAACGTAATTTTTGTACTCCCGCTGTTGCTTTTCGACCATGCGGTTCAATAATAAGTAATAGCAAGTGTTCCAAAACAGATCCTTGTGAAACACCAGATTAAGGGCCAATTTCCCCAACAACAGTCCGCTATTCTCCACCTATAGGGTAACAGCCCGTCAAACACAGCGAATGAGCTTCAAGTTCCAATCTACAAATTTTAGCAACCAATAGCTATAAAATGTTGAAAACAAAATACTTTCAGAGTATGAGATGACATCTTGTCATTGAAACATCATCATCCTATTGAATCTTAAGAAATTACATATAATTCAGTCAAAATTTAAACAAATGTTTGATTTTTGAATAAAACTCATGATTTACTTATGTATGTTTATATTATTTTCTTCAATTGATATGCGATTTTACTGATTCAAGACCATCTACTGGGTGTTTTTTTCTATAAACCTCTTGCAGATAGCCATTAAGCACCTCCTTGATGACTGGCTCTACCAAAAAGTTCATAGATATTCCAAACATTCATTCATTTACTTGCCGTTCATCAGAACCATTGTGGCACCTTAGATTGATGTTTCCACAAAACCGTTCTTGTTTTTTAATATCCATACATCCATAAAGTTGAATATCCTTCATTGTTCAGGAACTTAACAAACATCCACACTATATTCACAGTGATTAAGAAATACCCAAATATATGTCGTAGAGCTACCAGCAAACCTAAAACCTGCAGAAAAACTAGAAATTTGCAATATTTTTCTTTTTTCACTGAGTACATATTCTGGGCTATATTTATATTAGACGTTATTTGAATCACAAAACATATACACTGATTTGAATAACAGCTGATTATCTCCTGATTTTTTAAAACTAACCATATCGACAAGTGACACATAATTCTGTGGGATCCGTCAACACTTCGTCCCAGTGGAGCAAACTCTGCCAATTGTCGAAATAAACTTTATTAATTCCAAGTTTTATTTTTGTTTTACTGTGCCTGCATAGATATTCAAATACGGCCAGGAATTATTAGCGCCTGGCTATTTTAGGCCTTCAATAACTCCTTAGTTTAGATCTCTCCTTATTTTGTTTTTTCCACGCATTCATGGTAGAAAGAAAAATATTTTATCGAATATCGATACCGTATACCGTGCAGCAGGCACGCCCATCACTACTTTGACAGATTGCAGAATGATGTCTAGGTGACAATCGTTATGTGGCGTTTGTTTTTGTCTGAAATAGGTAAGTAGGCTTTGTGTATTCATTTTTATTTTTATAGCGTTTCCAGGATTTCATATTTCGAAACGATGTCAAGGGCCGGCAGGGGAAAATCTTTCTCTGAGAACTGAACATCATTAGGCGGTGTTTTCAGTCTATTTTGTTCTATCCCTTGGGAAAGTACAGAATAAAGAAAAGACTACAGTGCGCAGAGGCCACTCAGTGGCTCAGTGCTCGTCTGTAATGATAATATTCAAATACTACTAAACACCTAAATAGCTTTCTGGCCTTTCAATTTCGAAGCTACCGGTCCTCGCTTAGAGATGGTAGCACAGTTAAGGATAGACTCAGGGTATACGGTTACGAATGTTTATGATTAATCTCGATATCGATATATCGTCATGAAACCATCGATGCGTAAAGATCGATGTTCTACGTCCGATGTTTTCGATACATCAGTGTATCGTCTATCGTCGCCATTCCTATATTGTATCCTCACCAGTCACCAGTCAAAAACCTTAACCACCAAAATTTTATCACTGTTTATAATTCTTTTTAGCTCTTATTTTGCTGTAATTACTAATAATTTCAGGTCTATGGCTACAGTAATGGCATTATGCACCTCGGAGATGTAGGGTTTAACATGTTTTACACATATCGGTGTTTTAGGATGGGGACGACCATACTGTTTTGATTGCTTTGAAGAGATTCATTAACCCATGAATTTATAACAAATGATTATGATGCAAAGATAGATGAGGAATTGGTTGGAATACATTTTATATTCTATTTTCTTGCAAATCCGCACAATTCAACAGGTATGTGTAGCTATAATGATCACATATACACACAGTATATTCAACTTAACAAATTTCGAGATTGCCATGAATTAACAAACGACCAAACCTGCTGCTAGAAAATCGACCTATTATTTCTCCCATTCGCATTCGCTGAGGGGATAACGGATGGTCAAATGTACACCTATAACATAAATCAAAATACATGAAAGTTGTCCTGTTTTCTCTGTACAAATCATTATGTTGGAATCAAAAAGTGGTCTTGTTTATAATACAGTCGAATTTTCACGATTTTATTCAACATTTTAATAGAAATCACTGATATTCTGAGACCTTTGACAGCTTCCGTCAAATTGCATTTCGATAAGGTATTTTCGTATTGGTCCATAATATTAATGTTGATGAAATCGGCCCTAAGAGTTCGAAAAACTCTGATCTTGCTAGAAGCGGCTGGTATTCCCAACTATATTCTTGAACTCTGTAACTCAGAAAAACGAAATATTAAATCAAGGTTATTACGCTTCGGACCAACCGTAGAATTCTTCGGACATATAGTCACGAAGCTAAGCAATAATCTTAAAAGACTAATCATATCTGGAGGTGCTTAGGGAAGGGGAAGTCGTGAAAGATCGGCAATGAGATGGTCAAATGTTCAAGTTCAACAAGCGTTGAACACAACATTCTATGATGCTGAAGATGAAGAGCAGATGCATGAATAACATTGTTGGAGCTACGGCCCCTTAGATATGGAGAAAACGGGTAGTGAGCCCTCACTGGTTAACTGGCAGTGAGTGAATTTTCGGTTCAACTACAAATACTTCTGCCGTGAAGATAGAAAAGAGGACTAACCAAGTGTGTTTTGAACAAGAATAGGGTCCAGTGAAAACCCTGAATCAGACTATGTGCCATGCACAAGCCGGATAAGGTCCATAGTAGAAAAGTTCGGATCAAAAATAATCCACGTTGTCAGCTATTCGGTCAACAGATTGCTACAAACAAGATTGAGTCAGTTTTTCTTTGGGTCAAAAGTTCCGAAACATGTATAGTGTCACACATGGTATGGCAACTTTGTCATGTCTCATTCTGTGAGTCTCCTATACATCACGTGAACTGCATCATTTAAAGAAATCAGCTCAGCTTGACCTTTCATTGGGAAAAAACGTCAGTTCTATAAATCGCTAAAATTGAAAAGAGTAGTGTATGTATATGCCAACAATAGCTGCTTCGTATGTCTGTGTACGTATCAACCCGTTTTCAATCATTAACGAGTTTCCTGTCATTCAAAAAAGCAGTAAGTGCCACAAGATAGTTTTCGATCCAATGTATCATGAATTATAGAACGACAGGTAACGGAACCAATATTGGATTATAAAAGATTTAGGAACGGGAAAAAGCTCGCTGAAAAACGATGTGGAAGGAAACCCTGAGATATTTTGTTTTTCCATTCGCTTACAAAAATAGGAACAGAACATGTGGTCATTTATGTCTATCATCAGCAATGAACTTAGATGACCTAAGATGGCTTTTTATGCCCATAACATTTAGATCGATCGATAAGGCTGTGAGGCATGTTGATATGAGACCACTCACCACAACTCTATGCTAAGACTAATTTCTACGAGCTTTTATTTAACTTGATCTGTTTGTTAGTATGTAATCTGCGAGTATGTTAGCACTGCGGGACAAATCTTGTACCTGAATTTTGAATCAGTTAACCTTAACCAATTTTTGTACACACGTTTTGTTTCGTTACAATAAAAAATGCACCAACTGCCGCCTTTTTGAATTTAATATGGCGTATGGGTGTTAAATGAAAGAGCATGATGATATAAATACGGTAAGCATAGTAGTGTCATTCTAAATTCGAAATGGAGGCCAACGAAACATGGCGATTAAAATTTTTCTTTAGTCACCCTCATGATATGGCTATAAAATTAAAAGGACTTGATGGTACAGACACTATAAGGATCGTCTTTCTGAGACCAATATAGTGACCGCCGCAAAACAGCGTTTTACATTTTCACAGTCACTCCTATGATATGAGTATCAAATTAAAGGACTTTAGAGAGAAACATGTTAAGCATGGTGACACCATTTCAAATCTAGTATGGTGGACATCGCAGAACAGTATTAGTAACCCCTGTACAACGATTATCGACTGAAATGGGTTGATTAGGATGCACAATAAGCGCAGTGGTGTCATCCTAGGTCCAACATGGAGCCGACACTGAATAGCGATTTATAATTTCCATTGTCATCGCTATGATGTGGATATTAAAAACTTTAACGAGAGAACACGATGAGCAAGTAGCATATAGAGATCGCCGCAAAATAACGATTTACCGTTATGTAATCATGTCAAGGAAGAAGTCTTATTAATAAGACATATCAATGTTGAATAGAAATTACCAAACTAGTTATATTACATACTTGCCTTTGACGTTTTTCCAAATACCGTTTTGTTTCGGGGATATAGGCTCCGGAAACCATTAGAAATAGGGATCTCTTGAAAACATTCTGAACATTGTATAAATAAAGGAAATTTTGTGAAAAAAATAATCAGATGGAGCCTCATGTGATGGTGTCTATGTAAGACAATTAGGTGATTTAGTTCGCCAGCGACTGGCTAGCTCAAATGGGGTATTGCTATCTTTTTACACCCTATATAAAATATTGAGTAGCTTATTAAGTAAGTAATTATACTGATACTAATCGTAACTATTTGCTTTCCGTCTCTGCGTCCATCACCAACCATATGCAACGTTCTGCAGTGGTTTTTAGCATTCATCAGTACAGTATAGATCATTTGGAGACACATGACGGGAAGCAAAAAACAGAAACTAGTCTATTACAGGAATCAGTACTGTGACGTGCAAAAAATAAACCAGAGGTGATACGCCTCCTATGGATAGCCTCTTAATCGTGGTACTACCAGCCTTTGCGATGGCAGCAGGAAATACCAGTCTCCCGCAGAGGTATAAGGTAACTGAGAATGTGACTGTCATAACTGGGGGTGCGAACCAAACACCATTTACTTCATAACTGGTTTATTTCTAGTCGACCCACAGCTTCATCTATTTTGGGCCACCACACATATGACCTAGCCAATGATTTGCATTTATTCATACCCAGATGTGTGCTGTGTAGTTATCGAGGACATATTGTCGCAACTTGCCCGGAACCACTACTCGTATGCCCCATAAGATACAACCCCTCTCTAAATGCAACTCATCTCTTTTAACATAAAAGTCTGTCAATTCCCTTGGGACCCCATTATCTGGCCAGCCTGTTAGACAATACATATAAACTTTATTAAGAGTAACGTCTTTTTTTGTTTCAATGGCTACTTGCTTAAAACTAAATGGAGTATTATTTTCTAAATAAAATACATGACTGAAATCTACATAGTCCATCTTATTAGCTGTGTTTTCATCGAGTAAGCGAGATAAGCCGTCGGCATTTCCATTTTTTGTTGTTTTTACATATCTAATATCGTAGTCATATGATGCTAAGATAATGCTCCAACGCTGTAAGCGACTAGCTGCATATAATGGAATTCCTTTTTTTGCACCAAAAATTGCAACCAGAGGTTTATGATCCGTGATTAAAGTGAAATGGCGGCCGTATAAATACCGATTGATTTTTTTTAACCCAAAAATTATTGCACATGCTTCCCTGTCAATGCAAGAATAATTTTTCTCTGATGGAGTCAAGATTCTTGAAGCATAAGCAATTGGTCGGCTATCACCATTTGGAAAAACATGTGAAATCACGGCGAAAATTCCATAAGCACTAGCGTCGCAAGCTAGCGTTACAGTTTTATTGGGATCATAATGAACCAGTACTCTAGATAAAATCAAATCCCTTTGTATGTCATTGAAAGCCTTCTTTTGGATATGGGACCAAAAGAAATGCTGGTTTTTCTTTAGCAGCTGATAAAGTGGTTGCAATTTAGAGCTTATGTCTGGTATGAATTTAGCATAATAATTTACCATGCCTAAGAAAGCCTTAACTTCTGTCACATTTGAGGGCGTTTTCATATTAACAATTGCTTCTATTTTTTGTTTATTGGTATGTAAACCATCTTTGTTGACTGTATAGCCCAAGTAGTCCAATTTTCGCTCTCCAAAATGGCACTTCTCGAGATGAACAGTCAAATTGTATTTACTTAACTTCTCGAAAACCTTTATCAAGATTTGAAGGTGTTTCTCTTCGTTTTCAGTAGCTACTAGAATATCGTCGAGAAATGCAGCTATACCTTCTAAATTGTTAAAAAGCTGCTCCACCATTTTCTGGAAGATGCCTGGACTCGAAGACATTCCATATGGCAGTCGATTATATTGAAAAAGTCCTTTATGTATGTTTATTGTTACCAATTTTTCTGATTCGTCGTCTAAAGGAATTTGAGCATATGCCTGTGACAGATCAATCTTACTAAAAACAGAGCAGTTTTATACAATACTTAGTAAATCTTCAACTCTTGGTAAAGGGTATTTCGTAATGTGTAATTTGGGGTTTAAGGTGACCTTAAAGTCGCCACAAATTCGTACATCATCATTCTTTTTTAAAACGGGCACTATGGGTGTAGCCCAGTCGCTAAATTCAATGGGTGTTAAAATACCAGCCTTAGTTAAATCTTTAAGTTCTGTTTCGACTTTGGCTTTGAGAGCTATAGGTAGCGATCTAGGATTGCAATAAACGGGAAATGAATTTTCTTTTAAATACAATTTAGCGCACTCGCCATTAAAGCAACCGACGTCATCTCGAAACACCTCCGGAAATTTATTTCTCAATAGTTCTGATGCCCTCATTGAGAAATGCGTACAATCAATATGAAACAAATTGTCTAGATATATTTAACTTCTTAATCCAATCGCGACCGACTAAAGGTGGTCCGTGACCTTTCAATACATACAATTGCAAATTTTCAGGATTGGAACTATATTCAATCCTTGCATTTACCTTGATAAATCCTAAAATTTTTAGCACATTCCCAGAATAAGATCTCAATTTAAGATCGCTTTCCATCATTGACATAGATGAAAAGTTTTTATAATATTCTGCCTCAGATATGACAGAATAGGCTGATCCGGTGTCAATTTCCATATACATAACCACATCATTGATATTTAAGTGAATTTTTAGTGGTTTCTCGTGGTTATTTCCAATTTTGAAAATATCTTTTGAGATAGTTAAATCAGCTACCTCACTTACTTCGCTATCAGATGTTTCATCTGTATCAAGATGGTGCGTGACTCCTTGTTTTGCATTTTCATTTCTATGTTTACCGAAACTATGGTTGAACTTCGCGCACACGGCACTGACATGCCCCACTATACCGCACCTGTGACATTTCGATTTCCGAAAGAAACATCGGATATCTTGGTGGTTTGATTTCCCACAATGGCAGCAACAGCTGGAACGTGGCCCATGGTTACGTTGCCCTCTGCCTGAAACTTTGTGAACTGCTACCAACGCCATCGACGAGGACTTTGCTTCCTCCACCATGAGAGAATTTTTCTCTGCGGCCTCCATATTTAAGGCAATCCTTACTGCTTTAATGTAATTTAAATCTTTCTCGGTGAAAAGTTGTTGACGAATGCTGTCACTTCGGAGGCCATATAGGAATTGGTCAGTTAAGTGGTCTTCCAAACTGTCTCCAAATTGGCATGTTTTAGCTAGTTTTTTAAGTGCAGCTGAATATTGCGCTAAAGATTCGCCGGGCTCTTGCTTGCGTAATCTTAATTTGAATCTTTCTGCTCTTTTGGACGGCTCTGGTGAAGATGATTTTTAACTAACCTGAAAAATGCCTCGTAAGTAATTTCCTCCGGTTTGTCCGGGTTACACAAATCGATCATCAGCTCGAACATTTCTTCCCCGACGACAGCCAACAGTGTATTTACTTTCAATTCTTCTTCGATTTTATTAGCAATGAAGTACTGCTCAAATCTGGAAATGTAGGTATTCCAGTTCGACCCACTTAACTTAAACTCCGACATCCGTCCGATCGACATTTTATTGTTCAATTGGCGTACAACTGCGAACGAAAAAAAAAATCTCGCACAACTATGTCCGTAAAATATTTAACTTTTCCTCGTCGCCAGTGGGAGTGCGAACCAAACACCATTTACTTCATAACTGGTTTATTTCTAGTCGAGTCGACTTCGACCCACTAGTTGACAAAAAACATACAAACATAAATACGAGTTTATTCCTAAACTCTACAGTGACATTGTCATTTTTGACATGTCGGTTTTTTATGATATTATCTAGGTTCTTCCTACAAGACCTCAACTTGGAACTAGCTGCCGTTCATTTCATGCTCACTCGTAGCAAGCGCGGAATGAACTATTTGCACATTAGCCTGCTCAGGCAACAAGTTAATATTTTATCGGTTTTTTGACAATATATAGGTTTTTTACGTATAACATATAATAATTCTGCCTGCCTCTTAAATTGACAGCGTGTACTTGTATGAAGCCAAACAAGAAGCACCTACCCACCCGTTCAGGCTGCGCAACTTTTGCATAGAACGGCAATGTTGATATTTCGAGACGCTGGGAGGCTGTAGTTTTCTGCTGCCACGTAAGGGCTGTCAGTACTAGGATTGGCGAACCCATCCGTGGATGACGTGTCACTTTTGATTTATTTTTTATACTGCAACTAATCTCCAAAAAGTTGGACAAAAGCCTAAGAGTTGAAAATGTGATATGAAAGCTGATATCCGAAGCTTTTTTCCGGCTGCTGATTAGGAATCTGTTAACAGAAGTGCTGTGTTTTCAAACCGGCGCCGGCGGAACCGGTACGTCTGCATAGTCTATATACGTACAACAGCTTTGAAATAAAACTGTTTTCCCCAAAAACGTTTATTTCTATTAAAATAAAACTAAAATACATTGTTATAGTTGAATGACTAGAGTTATTCAAAATATTGCTCTTGTGTTATCGCGTAGCGCTCAAAAAACAGCAATATTCTATTTCGGATAGTTAATATGATGTCGAAAGTTATTTGATAAAAATAATTTTCTAGTGAAGTTCTTGATGGGCCTGGATCTCACGGTACTAACGTTGTGAAATGACACAATAGTACAAAAAACATCCGCTTGAAGTCTTAAACCTCGTTTTGGAAACGTACGAGTACTGTATAGGGAAATAGCGACGCGAACTATTTACATTCAATCTGTACTTTGAACATTGCTGATTTTTTGTAAAAAATACTCGAATCCAGAGCTAAAAAAGCTTGGTTATCGGAACTCATAATTCAGATGACATTCACATTTCTATGGCAAATAATAAATTAGAGCCCAGTTTTGCCAATACAAAGGGAAAAAGCATAGCACTACATAGTCTAACAACAAACATCATGTATAGTGTTATGATAGAAAATAGGTTCCTAAAGCTGTAAACAAACGACAGTGAAAAAATTATCGTTCCTCATTCGTCCTGGTTTCAATCCAACAGCAGTTATTTACTAGATTGATTGAATGATCGAAAAATCCACTGTAAATCTGCCGTGTGGAAAGCAAAGTAGTCTAAAAATCTGATATTACCATCTAATATGTTCAACATTTTATTTTCTATTTAGCTTCTTTGCTTTTTGCGTACAACGGTCACAGAAATTATTATGAGTAAAAACACAAAGGTGTAACATTCGTACAGGATGTCCCATTTTAAGCTGTCCTCTTGAACATTTCGGAAACTGCACGTCATAGAGAAAGAATTTCAAAACAAAAATTGTAAATTTTTGACCATGACCTTCACTACGATATTCAACATCATTTCAAGGTCAAGCAAAAATATTCAATTGGAACACCCATTTATTACACCGCAGTTGGAAAGAAGATGGAATTCGACATCCAAATATAACCTTGATCTTTACCATAACGATCACCTTCAAGGCCATTTCAGGCTCAAATAAAGACATTGAGAACAACTTGCTCTAGAAAAAATGTTCGAAAGCACAGTTGTGCGGTCTTCGGAGGCCGCCCAAAGGTAATCTTGACTATGCTCTTGACTTTGACCATGACCTTGACCATTACCTTGACCCTTACCTTGACCATGACCTTGACCTTGACCATACTATTTGCTTCAAAATCACGTCAAACTTTTCAAAGGAGACCCCCATTTTTGTCAACTGACTTGGAAACTGGCTAGGAAAATGTTACGATCCAGTCTGGTTCTATTCGCCATTGTCCGGCAGAGCAGTCCGTGGGACCTTCGCTCTTGATTAAAGTATCGTAGGTTAGTAGGTCTGTCAGGTCTGGTCGTCCAGATACCAGATGAAGTCAGGGAGAAAGAAAGTCTGGTCTTGACCTCAAAGTCAAGATCAATGTTATTTGTCATACAACTGCTAGATTTTTATGCAAAATGCATTGTGCTGTGGTACACTTTTGCCAGAGACAGTTGTTTTCAATGTCTTTACATGGTCTTGCAATAGCCTTGATGGTCATAGCGATGGTCATAATCATGGTTATATTCTTGGCAATAAAGAGGAGCTCCATTGGAAGATATTCCATTGAAACTTTTGTTTGAAACTTTGTTTTCTAGGTGGAGAGATTAAATTGGGAATCCCTATATGATGTATATATTATCATGTTACTGCATTGTATGTTGGGTCGAACGAGCCAGATCTTCCTGATTTTTCAGACATTAAATGGTATTCAGAACATGTGCGTGAAGGTCAATACGTGTTTCAAATTGTAAAATGTACCAAAATATTTACGTAATTATGGGAGGGAAAGGGATTTACTTACTTTTGCTGACAAGGGGGGGGGGGGAGGTGATTAATATTTGTGAAAATATCTGCTTCGTAATACTTGATAGGGAAATCAATGAATCCTTACCTCAAACTGCACTGAGTACTCTTCAAGTGACCGCTAGCTTCTACTTACCAAATCATGGTTTAATTGGAGAATAATCGTCATTTTTCGTTAGTATAACCGAAAATGCATGTTTGAGGGCCACATTTAACGCAACGAAAGAAGTACCCGTAAAGTTGTAAGTATATTTTGTCAACTGCGATCTGGGGTAAAGTACCCTGGAGTTTGATTCTGCCTGTGCAGTTTGAAAAATGTGACAAAATGATTCCCACGTATCTCCGTATAACGTGTCTAAGGTGCCTTTTTACATCAGGCCTGGTTCTGTATGCATTTAGATGGGAATAGATAACTCCATTGTGGATATGGAAATGAAGGAGGCCTTCTGTTGGTCAAATTTAAATAGGTATTGGAAATCCTGGTGTACAAAAGGGAAGAAGGTAGGAAAATTTTTAACGCTTTCCACTTCGGTATTGGTTATAGAGTCCTTTCAGGGATGCAAAAATATTCTTAAGCGGTGGCGGTAAACTAAATTCTCTAAAACGGGACCGGACTAGGAGCGGTCTTCTGATTTTCTATATTTGCGCAGCTAGAATTGTTTCTACGATACTATTTAAACTAGTTTAATCAGGTACAGTCACACACATACGTCAACCTGATCAGGAGGAGAGCAAAGATGCCCAATATGGAATGCCATTTTGTTTTAGGGATATAAAGACAAGACGAAATGGAAGTGGTAACAGTTCGATGTTCTATGCTATATAATCAGTCAAACATTTTTAGCTAGTCATTAACAGTGAGCGCAAGTAGGTGAGACGTCTAACGATCGCCACTACCAGTGGCTTTCCAAACTGATTTTCATACGCATCCCATACGATGAAGATGGCAGAGAGTCCTTGCGTCTATGCACAAAGATGTCGTACCGGACCACTATCACGGTCCACTGTCAAGCGGTCGAAATGCCAAGTATTCATAGAGAAAACGAGTAATGGCGTTTATACGCATATATGCATGGGTAGACACGGCTGAAATGGACATGTTTGCTGTTCGTCACTCTAACCATGACCAACCGCACCATGGTTGGTCTATCAGGCCAGTGCGAAAAATGAACCTGTCGTATGAGTATGAGATTTGCTGACAAATAAAATTTGTTGACAAATGTAGACGCCCACTGAGGAATCGGGAAGCGAGCTAGACTCGTGACAACATCACATGACAATGCTATGCATAAAACTGTCTCTTTCTGACTTAATTCTTGGATATTGTTGATTGAAATTTTCGCGCGAAACAACCTGCTTCCCTTCTCGACCATTGAGGGGAGGCGATGCGGAGGGAACCCGGACATAATTTGTCATTAACACGCCTCAAATGTGTCGCGATTCGACGTTTTGCGTCACACGAGTGTGAGAGCTGTCATTTTATGTACCAAGGAACTAAGCCAAAAAGCTCGCTTTCTTTCTCTTCTCTTCCCTTTTCTTCACGAATGTGCTTGTGGAGTGTCAGATCCAGCCGTAATTGAAGCCAGTCTAAATCTGATTGTGTATCGGCTCCCATTTGAAACAATATCTCAAAAATTGTACCGTATTTAGATAATACCCTCCTGCATCGCGGTGTAGGTAGTGGAGTTGCTTCAAAATCGATATAGTGCCAGTGCTTCCTTTCGCGGCAGGGAACGTTAAAGGGAATAAAATAAATAAAGTGGAATCCCCCGAAGATTTCTACCAGAATGGAGATGTAGGAATTTCCGCGGATTCCGTTATTAATGGGTGTAGGCGAGTCTGGCAAGCTCCAAGGAACAAATTGAGAATTGTTCGGGGCTTTTAATAAGCATTAGCGTTTGTACAGGAAATACGTGATGCGAAAAGCTGTGTTGTCAGTATTCTGGGATCGTCGTCCAAAAGCCAGGACAGCATTTATTTGTTGATGCTCATTTTGCTCGATGTGCCAACAGGCTAGTAGAGATTGCAATAATGGAAAAATTCGAGTTTACGTATGTTCCATTGACACCTATTGTGATACGTAAATCACAAAGCAATGTGTCTCTGACAGTCTTGGATCATAGCCGGGCAATCGTTTCGCGGCTGATGGGGAAAATAGTCTGATTCGAATTTTTTGCATGATCTTATTCAAAAAGACTCCTTTCAAAGGATTTGCTAATTTCAACAAAATTTTTGTTCGTTCTGGCGCCTTCAGATTTTTTGGGACGCTCTCTGCAAAAAAG